GTACAAGGTGATATGAGATGGACATCATTTGAGGGCAGGGAAGCTAGCAGCAAGATAAAATTTGAGAAGCGATTGATAGAAATGGGGGAGGAGCGTTGGGCTGGGAAGGTTTTCAGCTACTTGTACATGAAGAATGTCGATACAAAATGAAGGAAGCGAACCAGGAAATTGACTGGTAAAATACTTAGAAAACAGCAGGTGGCCAAACCAAAAAGAACTATCGGATAAGAAGAAAGTGAAGGAAACGGAGACTGACATGTAGAGAATGGGCATGATTAAGAAGTCCGCACTAGAGATCTATCGAACCTTTAAGCAGGAAATTGCCAAGGAAAGGATCTATGATAATACTCGGGGTAGTTCCCTACTGTTTGAGGCCAGGGCGGGAGTACTGCGAACCAAGACATATCGGGCCAAATACGAAGGGGTAGACACAGTATGCAGTGCGTGTGGAGAGGAAGAAGAAACTGCCGAACACTTGATAATGTTCTGTAAAGGGCTTCACCCTACAGTTCAGGATGATGGCGCTGAGTTTTTCAAAGCACTGGGGTTTAGGGACCGAGAGGGCAAAATAGACTTTAAGCAGGTAGACTTAACTAGAAGGAGGTTATCTGATTGGTGGCTAAAGTCAAGGCACGAGTGAAAATTAAACCCTTCACTGCAAAGTACGTATCCTCAAGTTAACTATTTAAGGAAAAAATATAAATCTAGTTTTTGGTTCATTAAGTATTACGGCTAGGTGGCGCTAGCCACCGCCCGATCTAAAAGGTACAGCCAAATCTATCCATCCATCCATCGCATTTCTGCTTCAAACACCTAGAGTGGATGTACTAAACTCTCTCGCCACTCACCCTATTGCACTTTCTTGTAGAGGCGTCTTCGTCGGGGCCAAGTTTTCTTTTAAATTGATCAAATACTACATGTTTGCGTACCACTACACATAAAAAACATTTTATTCTTCTAGTGAGTAGTTTTTCTTAAACATGTGCTGCATCATCAACTTTTTGTAATAGTTTTTGCTCCAGCTGACTCGATGTCAGTAGCAGCCTATCGACATCATTATCCTCATTTCAAAGTTTGTGGCGGCCAACGGTTGCGACGGCAGGTAACTAGGTGTTCTGTGAGGTAACGGCTTGCGGTACGTTCGGATGTGTCTCGGACTGTTTCGTTTCGCTGTAAATATTTCGAGCCTCTGCCGACCGACACATTCTTTCTCATTCTGTTTATTTTAACTCGTTCAAATGCTTTCGCGAAGGGAATTTGAGCGACTTTCGGGGAACAAAGGGACCGTTGAAGCTTTGATTGGATGAACACCCGTTGCAAGCCCGGGCCGGTCAGTAGAAACCACTTCAGTTTTTTTAAGGATGGTTGCTTGCGGGGCTAGTTGGTTTATTTCAAGATATGTAGTTTTTTTTGTCAATGACTGCGTAGGCGTCACCGGTGGCAGCGCATTGGAGTATTAAACTTTAAAATTGTTGAACGTCTCAATCTGTAACCGGGAAAACGTGCGTTACGTGCATGGCTTCACGTGGGAACGAGTCGCTGACTCTATAGTTAATTCTGAAATTCTATCACCAGGTAACACCAACCAGGCTGTGCGATAAAAGAAGGCAAATAAATCACCGTCGCCTCGCATGCGTCTTCTTAGCTAGCCCATATATTAAGGCAAAAAACCTACTAGTTAATAGTTTACTGCAGTCGCGTTTGAGAAACATCACATAATTTTGGATCTGGTTTTGATATAGTGTGACAAAGGAAGCGTCACATAAATGATAAATACTTCTTTTTATGCCACAGCCTCCTGGCCCACCTGACATGGAAGCAAATGTGTACAATGGGCAAGGAACCTGCTACATGACATGCCTCGTGAAGAAGCAGCCCTGAGTGATATACGTGTTATGAGGTACCACTACATATATGCATAAAATACTGCTGTTTACTAATTACCTGAGTTTATTTGTTTACTTTAGAACTTTTCATGCATTGATTATGCATTGATTTCATGCATTGATATCTGGTGATGTTACTTGCTTTTCCAGACTGCCATGCAATGACAGGGTGACTACCCCCGAATGTCCACTCTGCAAGCAGGTTGAAACATCTGCATGTCCACTACAACAGGTCATCTCTAACCTCCCACATGTAATGCTGTTTTTGTGAATGTTTTACCGCGCATATCGTGGAGAGCTGCTTTAGATTGACTACAAGCATTGCCTGCCTACGGTGGCATGCAATCTACACTTCAATAATGTTGAAACTGTAACACTATTAGTTAGATTGTGCGGCGCTGCTGAGCTCAACAACACACTGTTTGATCCCAGCCACTGTAGCCATATTTCGATGGGGGTGAAGCGCTAAGACGCTTGTGTGCTTAAGGGTTTGTTCGATTCGCCTGCACCACATGATCCAATTTACCAAGTGCTGCACCTCGCCATTCCTTTTACTGGCGCAGCAATGGCATCTTCTAAATCTTGCCATTCATTTCAAAAAGCGCAGGAGAGGTACAGCACCAAAACTATTTCATGACTTTCCTGTATCTTCTGCTCTGACGGTGCTGGTTTGGTGCAGCCGCTCGCACAGCTTAACAAACAACATAGCATTAGACGTAGGTGCTGTACCCACCCCTATAAATGCGGCGTGTTTTGCCAAGATGTTTGCACCTCATTAAATTAAGTGAACAAAAATAAGGATTCCACCTTGTCGGCACCTTGTCATTCACTTGTGGTGCCGCACCGCTGAACTCCTGCCGCACAAGTTCTGAACTTCTTGTGCACAGCTGTGAACCAGTTCGGATTGGTGCAGGTGAACTAAACTGACCCTTAAAATATGGAAGCTTGAAAATATGAAAAATATGTTAACATAAGCGGTCAAAGCAAATGTTTCGACAAGCATTCTTGTCTCCTATGAGGCTACAATGTCATTTGTTTGAGCCCCTGGAAGCCAGAATCAATCTAAATTTGCCCACTACTGTACGACTCACGATCACTTCATAGTTGACATGTGAATCGTCGGAAATTATTAATTGCACTACATAATGAACACACCCAGAGTGATGGGCATTAACAGGCTTTCCGACATTTAGTTGTGACTTGCAACAGTTTACCAACAACACCCAGAACTGTTTTGTCTTAACTGTGTTTAGCTCATACAAGTTTACAAAAAGATGCACCAAAGCTCATAAGACTACACTCAATTGCTTTAGCTTTGCACATATGTTCAATGGGCTCTTAAAATAATAAATCATAAAGGTGATGAGCAGTTGCGGCACAGCTTCCTCAAAGATGTGAATGCTGGCATGAAGAGCAAGATTGTGTTCATTGCATGTGGTACTGTTTTTTTTTTTTAAACGTTCCAAATTTCTTTGTGCACCTCTGCTTCTGTTTAAATTAAGTTGTCATAACTGTTGTGTCTTCCACTGCGTAGTGAAATTCTGTGCACTACGGTCATGAAAAAAATCTAGGAAATCGCACAGGTCGTTGAAACATACATGATCTTCACTTATCTACAGCCTTACTGCAAGATAGTACGTATTTTAAGTCCTAACCTCTAAGAGTAGCAGGGAGAAAACAACTTCATTTTCAAGCACAAGTATACTGAAAAAGTAAACACAATAACAAGTGTGTAATAAATGTGACCTTTATTGATCCAGTATTCGGACAGATTCACATCATGTGCAACCAATGGATTTCAGGAGTACTTGCTTGCGAGAGAGAACTCAAGTTCTATGGATATGTCTATGCAAAAAAAAAAGATTGTGCTCAGGGCTGAGGAGATAGTGTTATGTAAGAGTACCAACAAAGATGTACAGACAACAAAATTGTACAATGCACACCTGACGCTTATTTTCTTAGAATTGGGCCTTTTCGATCTGTAAGCACACACCTCATAAGTGTCCCTTTAGCATACATGTTCGCTGCATACTTAGCAGACTAGTCATTACCTGCGACGAGAAATTGTAGCTGTGGTAACTGTGCAACTTAACTCTAACAATAAATGTAGCAAGCCTGAAATATTTCTAGGCCCATCCCCTAAATACATAATACCAATGATATGGGCTCACGGCTGAGTATTAAAACTAGTGCCTACTCTTTCGACACGACGCGACATTGCAGAATTGTGAAGTACTCAATGTAGCATTGCAGAGCGAGAAAGATTCAGAAATGCACGCATCCCCAATTGCTTATTTTACGAATTTAGCAAAACTACATTGCTCTAACTGCGCGAGCTATCTATCGGCTATGTGCAAGTTTTCTTCCCGATTCCACATCATGCATTCGCTTCAATATCAACACTAGGGGGCAAGCGCCGCATCTGGCGGCAGAATCAGACCCTTGTCCTGAAGCCACGCTATTAAACTCGAGTGCCGCAACACAATGAGAGCGACGTTCATTCAGCGATTTCGATGTTCACTTATATGCATATGCTTGTTAGCTTTCAAGAGTCTTTACTCATCGGTTGAAAGCTTCCGATATGTATGACTTGTTTTGTTCGGACCTGACCGTATACATTAATTGTACCGGCTTGGACACGCAATAAACGATGCAAACCTTACTTGGTTGACGTTGTTTTTGCCAGTCGAGGCCAGCTAGGTCCCCTGGCGATAATTACAGACGCAAAACGCGATTGGGCAACGAAAAAAAAACAAACAAAGAAAGCAAGCAGCGCGAATCAGCCGTGGGCCCCCCCACCTGCCGCAAAAAAATGCGTCTGTTTATTGATGATGATAATACTACAAGCGCCATCTCGCCTCGCGGTATTGCAGTTCAGTACGCCGCTGCTACGTATTTGCATGTTATTTTGGTACAACAACCCAAAGTTACAGTTTCCGTTTTCTGAACAGGTGGGTGTTCTGTGGCTTTGTTGCCTTTCAGCCATTCCTTCACGTGTTTCCTCATAGGTGGGTTGTGCGCCGCAGCTGCTGCGTCTACGTGCAAAATTTCATATTCGGACATTGGTGTGCGAGGAAGCTTTCGAATTCTTTGTTGCGAGTGCTGCGTCTCGCAATGTCGCGGAACCGAAAACCGCTGACGCTTGAAGAAAAGCTTCGCATGATCGAGGAGGCGGAGAAGCGGAGCGGAGCAACAAAGGCGAGCATTGCCCGCGACCTGAACATTTCTGAGTCCTCGCTGAAAACGATCCTCCCAAAGAAGGACAGCATCCTACTAAATGCGGCAAAGTTCGGCCTGAACAAGAACGCCACGAAAGGTGGCAAATATGCTGCCATGGAGGCGGCCTTCGTTGAGTGGTTGCGTCAGGCCCGCAGTTCAGAAATTGCCCTGGATGGCGCAATGTTGAAGGAGAAGGCGGAGACAGTTGCATTGCGCTGCGGCATTGATGACTTTAAAGCCTCCAATGGCTGGTTGGATCGCTTTAAAAAACGCAGTGGAGTTGTGTACAGCCGCTGCTGTGGAGAGAGCTCGTCAGTCAGCTCCGACACTGTCGAAAAGTGGACTGCATTGCTGCCGGAATCGATACGGCAATACAAGCCGTTCAACGTGTTCAACGCGGACGAAACTGGATTATTTTATAATATGCAGCCAGAGCAGACATTAACATTCAAAGAAGAGAGCTGTCACGGGGGTAAGCGAAGCAAAGAGCGTCTTACTGTATTACTTTGCACTAATGAAGACTGCTCAGAAAATCTTCCTGCCCTCGTGATCGGCAAGTTTGCGAAGCCGCGATGCTTCAAGCAACCGGAAAGCCTGGATGATGGCTGCTATGTTTTCAACATATCTGCAGCAGCTGGACTCAAAAATGGGGGCTAAAAACAGAAAGATTCTTCTTCTGCTTGACAATGCACCATGCCATCCATTAGATACGTCGCATTTGAGAAATGTGAAAGTTACATTTCTGCCCCCCAACTGCACTAGCCAGCTGCAGCCACTTGACGCTGGCATCATCAAGTGCATGAAGCAGAAATATCGGAAGTTTCTGGTGAAGTGTTGGATGGCGGGCATGGATTGCAAGCAGCTGGATAAGAAGTTCTGTGCTTGATGCAATGTACTACATTGCAAGTGCATCGGACGCAATCACGCCAGAAACCATTGTCAACTGCTTCAGGCAATGCGGCTTTAATAGAAGTGGTGCTTGTTCTACCAGTGAAGCTGCAGTGCCTGTTGACGACGAATCAGAGTTTGGCAACCTGGAGCTGCCTGGATCCTTTGCAGACTATGTTGGTGCTGACGACGACGTTGCAGTGTGCGGTGCAGTGTCGCTGGATGACATTATCGAAACTGTGCGTCCTGACACTGCAGGAACTTCCGACGAGGAAGAGATGAATGACACTGCAGAGGCTAGTGCGTCCGTTCCGACGTACGCGGACGTATTGTGCTACGTCGACAACGAAGAAAGCTGATGCATCGTGGCTGGGCAAACTCGCAGAAAAAAATCAGATTTTCTTAAAAAGTGAGAATAAAGATTTGTTCAGACCTCTGATAAAATGCGTGGTTGTCATTTTTTCAAGTAATTTAATCTACCTTCATCGGAGCAGCGTAGATTTGTGCCGCAGACTTACGCATTTTGTGACAACTGTTGTGGGGCAACAACGACCATTAGTGAGTGCCTATATTCTTGGTTTTTCGATTATACGACGCCCGTATTATACGACGATTTTGCGTGGTCCCCTGAAAGTCGTATAATCGAAGTTTCACTTTATAGTAGTTGCCACAAGCAAAATTATATATTATGCGAAGAAAAAATACCTGCGTTACGGAAGAATCCATGAAGCTGCTTTTAGAGATGCATGCAACATTTACTCAGCTTTCTGAATAAACTAATAATCTAACAAACGTTTATTTTTATATTCTCTATCTTGTGATCCCAATTTTTCTGAATTCAATACACTACCGTAGTGCTCAAGTGGTCCGAAGTATAGTGTACTATATCTGAAGTAACACGCCTTCACTGAATTCGGCGGCGAGTTTGTGGGAGCCCCGGCGAAAGATGCCGCCGAGTGCAGCCCGCACGCCGAAGGCGGGCATGAATCAAGGAGGAAACGCACGCGCCGAGAATGTCATTATTTTTCTAGACCCGAGGTTTTACCTAGATGGATGGATGTATCCGGCTTTGTCCTTTAGTTCAGGCTGCGGCTCACGCAGGCTAGCCATAAAGTAAAGTGCTAACGCTATGTGATGAAGGATTGAATCTAACCCGCGCCTTGATAGTAGCCACTGATCAGTCAGCCTCCTCCAGGTTATTTCTACCTGTCTAAGGTCTATTTTGCTTTCACTGTGCCTAAAACCCAATGATTTGAAAAATTACGCGTTAATATCTTGAACTGTAGGGTGAAGCCCTTTGCAGAACATTACCAAATGTTCAGTCGTTTCCTCCTCCTCTGCACACGCACTACATAACGTGTCGGTGCCTTCGTATTTGGCTCAGTACGTCTTGGTTCGCAATACTCCAGTTCTGGCCTCGACCAGCAGAGAACTACCCCGAGAATTATCGTAGATCTTTTACAATGTCCTGCTTGAAAGTTCGGTAGGTCTCCAGTGATTTCGTAAGCACTCCAATCTTCCACATGTCTCTCTTTTATTCCTTCACCTTCTTCCTAACCGATATTTCCTTTTGGCTTGGTATTCTGCTGTTGTCGAAACACTTGCTTGACAATTTTCGAATTCACTTCCTCTATTTAGTATCAACATTCATGTACAAGAAGCTGAAAACTTTCCTAGCCCAACACTCCTCTTCCAGTTTTCTCAATCGCTTGTCAAATTCTATCTTCCTGCTAGCTTCCTTGCACTCGAACAATTTCCATCTCATGCCACCCTGTATTCCCTGTTTTAAGGTATTCCTGTGTGCTCCTTAAGGGGAGATGCGGGTCAAAAAAGTCTACTTTTTTTAAAAGTTACCGATTTTTTATTTTCACCTGTTTTGATAATATTAGTACCTCTACTGTTATGAAAAAAATAATACAGGTCGAGACTTAACTGGAAATGCTTTAAAACTTCATCTAAAGAGCACAAAGTGCCTGTTAAAAGGTCGAAAGTGTGCAGTCTTCGAGCACCTTGCCGCCGATAATGCGCCGCCGCTAGCCATTGTTGATCGCATGAATCGAAGAGTCGAGCCTCACTCTTCACATAACAATAGTTTCTCTCGCTGATGCAGCGCAAGAAATAATAAAAAGAATCACTGTTCTGTGCGTTTTTCGAGTGCCGCGACTGGCTTATCACATGGTACGAATCGGGGACCGCCATTGGCCGCTGCGCGCCTGTATGTGCTGTGAAACCTATTTGCAGGGTCCATGTCATGTCGAGCAGCGCAGCTGAACAATGCTTTTCTCGTGTAATTATCTCCGTTATGAATGAAAAAAGGCATTGCTCGCAAGTGAAAGCCGTTGTGCGGCGAGCTCTGTAGGAATAGGCTACGAGCCGCTGGTCCAATTTGCGGCAGTTGTTGGCTTGCAAAAGCCAATGCATCAAAGTCGTTCACACCCGTCAGCTGGAAAGTTCGTGATACGGCAATGGATGACACCAGCGCCAATCTTGAGAGGTCGAAAGAGCTCACAGTGAGAGAACTTAGCAGGGACGACATTGCCATTATGTACAACGGTATGTGGCACAAACATGGCTGCAAAATGGCACAACACTGGAATTAGTTTGGATTTCGCAGTCCTGTCGAACTTCCTAGCTTGCAGTTGGCACAAGGCTATGCGAGATGGAGCGGAAGTTCGGCAAGCGTTTCATGGCCCTGTCTGTGAGCGAAATGTCTGTGAGGAGTCTGCTCGAAAATGCCGAGAAGGACAAACTCACGGTGCTGGCGTATTTTAGTCGCAGTGGCCACTACAAGAAGGATTGTTCTTTTTGGTGTGCAAATTTCATCTGATTTAATAATATCTTTCATAAATAAAAACTCAATTTTAACTTTAAAACTAGTTTTTCTCAAAACACAAATTTTGCCATTTTTTCCAATGTGCCCCTCCTTTTTCGGGCGCTTCTAGTACTGTGATCTGCATGAAATTTTGCCCAAATTTTTTTCAAAGTATGACGAATGCAATTATCTGGTTTAAATTTCAATATTTTATGGTATAGTAAAAAAATTGTATGCATATCTTTACTAGAGAAGGTGAAATATGGACTTTTTACGTCTATTATGTTTCACACGTACTACATATTTTGTATGTGCTTTCTAATTAGTTATTCGCACTCTACACTTTATTTGAAGCATTATAAATTATGAATGGCAAGAAATTACAGAATTTTAGGGATGAAAGAGGGGGGGGGGGGGGCAAAAAGGTTAAGGTTTTCACTTTGTCATGTTACAGAGCTAAAAGTGTGTAACTTGCAAGAAAACTAATTATATATTTGAAATCGGCATAAAAAGTTCCACAAACAGCTCAAGTTTCATTGCTCTAGGGTGAATATTAAGGAAAAAATGTCTTCGAGTAGCATCTCCCCTTAAGCAAGTCTGCCTATGCCACATTGTTTAGTTTCCAATCTTAACTTCTGATCTCATGCACAAGACTGCACTGCCGAACCCAGGACCATGACACCTTTCCAAATCCACTTCACAACATCATACCTATTGTAGTTCCACAATGCCCTATTTTTCATTACAGGTGCATTTCTGTTACCCTTAGTCATTACATATCTTTCATGCTCCCTTAGGTACTCAGCCCCATTGTTTATCCATACGCCCAAATATTTACCCATTGCTTGTAGCATTACTTCCTGTATCTTATGCTCATTGCCTTCATTATCATTAAAAAACATGAATGCGAATTTTCCAGACTGAACATAATTTAACTTATCTTCCTCATTACTGCAGCTGTTATTAATCCCTCCAGATGTTCTTTGTTGTCAGCTATTAATACTATATCATCTGCATACATCAATTCTGGTAATGACTGTTCAATGTGTTTTCCTTGCTTGGCAAAAGAGAGACAAGCCGAGTTTACTCCCCTCTAATTTGGCTTCTAGTCCCTGGAGATACAGCATAAATAACGAAGGTGACAAAGGACATCCATGTCGAAGCCTCCGTTGTATCTCTACAGGTTCAGATACGTGTTCCTTTAATTTGATAACTACCTTGTTACTTATATATATATCTTTTAGAAGATTAGTTATTCCATCTTCCACATTTATGTGCCCAGTATTCCCCACAAGTCTTTTTGAATCACACTATCGTAAGCTCCCTTGATATCTAGACATGCCACCCACAGGTACCTGTGTTCTTTTTCCGCTAATTCAATACACTGCATCAATTACCCACAGGTACCTGTGTTCTTTTTCCGCTAATTCAATACACTGCATCAATTAAAACAGATTGTCCTCCAACCTCCTTCATTTATGGAAACCATTTTGTAGTTCTCCCAGCACACCCTCATTCTCCACCCACGTTTGTAGTCCTTCCTTAACTATCTGCATCACCAGCCTGTAAACTACTGATGTCACTGTTATCAGACGGTAGTTATTTATATCGGCTTTGTACCCCTTTCCTTTATAGATCATGCTCATCCTGCTTAGTTTCCACCAATTGGGAGCTTCACCACCCATTACTGCTTTGCTTGCTGCCTCTCTTATTAATGTGTTCTTAGTGTTTGGTCCTAGTTTTTTATTAGCATAACTGGAATGCCGTCAGGGCCTGTTGATGTGCTATTAGAAACTCTCCTCCCTTTCCCACTTTCATTGTCCCAGTAGAGCCACTGCGCTAATTGGTTCATTTTCATTCGGTATGGTGCATGCAGCGGTTCCTTAGTGTTTAAATTTTTCTGTCATCCTTGTTCTTATATATTCCATTGCCTCATCCCTGACAGACGTTTGACATTGGAGTGGGAAACACGTATATTGCATCTCCGAGGGAGAGCGGCGGCGCTAGCCATCATGTCTCTGACCAACGGCTCCCTTTGAGAAGCATGTATTTGAACGGCCATCGAAAGCAAGAACGGAGGACCTGCCAATGCTCCTTTACTTTTTTTTTTTCAATGAAAAATGGTGAATGAAAACACGGGGCACCCTGCAGCTAAATTCGGGTGCTGCGTCGCAGTGTGGCGTTGAGCAGCAAGCTTGGCGCATCGGGGATGGTTTGGCACAGGATGGCGCAGGTAAACAAGTCATGTGCCCGATGGCAGAAATGGTGCAGCTATTCCGCCCTGCATAAAGTAACCAAGTTGGTATTTCAAGCAAGTAGGCTAGTTGGTATTTCACTGCAAACCTAGCAGTGCTATGTGTTCTTCGCCATAAGCATTCGCCCTTGTCTTTTCAATGCAATCCCACATTCATCTTTCGAAACCGGTTCGCCCAACCAGGCTTATATTAATGACACAAAAGACAAGCCTTACACTTAACCACATTTAATCATCAAAGTAACACATATTCAAATCACAAATAAATACGGTGGAGCACACTCATTTCACAATTGGTGCTACTACACTCATTACTGCAAGCACCTCGTGAACATGGGAGATTTTCCTAGAGAGCTTGTTGCCACAATCATCCGCATCTGACACACTTCAAGAGAGACACCAGCTTAAAAAGATAATATAATTAAAACCGCATGTAATAAACAATTCTACCTACATAACAACTGAGCTACACAGCTTTTTAAATGGTTTGCAGGCAACAGCTAGCACAAAAGACAAGCCTTACACTTAACCACATTTAATCATCAAAGTAACACATATTCAAATCACAAATAAATACGGTGGAGCACACTCATTTCACAATTGGTGCTACTACACTCATTACTGCAAGCACCTCGTGAACATGGGAGATTTTCCTAGAGAGCTTGTTGCCACAATCATCCGCATCTGACACACTTCAAGAGAGACACCAGCTTAAAAAGATAATATAATTAAAACCGCATGTAATAAACAATTCTACCTACATAACAACTGAGCTACACAGCTTTTTAAATGGTTTGCAGGCAACAGCTAGCCCTCAACAATAGTGCATGCCAGCATATCAGTTCACTTATACACGGAACTACTGTTATGTACCTTGCTCACAACATTGAAAAGTTCACCAAATAATGTTGATAATTCCTGCTTGAAACAGTACAATGATAGTGACGAAATATTGTATGGCACAAATACCTGCAAAAGTACAAAAACATAGAAAGAAACAACAGACTTTTGACAAATAGCAAACAATGCAACCATCATTGATCTAACAGAGCCAACAGAGTAAGATAAAGCACTGTGAGATAGAAACACCCACACGTACCGCAGCAGTACAGCAATGTGCAGCAGCAGCATTAGTCGGCAACTGATGACTGTGGTGTGTGCAAAATTAGTGTCACAATGCCATGTCTCCAAAGTTGCAAGCAGAGGCTCAGTTTTGATGGCATCTCTAGAGAATGCACAACCAAAATTTACGAGGCATTACTATTGGTTTCACATTTACTGCTGCATACCTGCCAAGTACAAGGAATATGAATCCGGGAGATTCTGGAAGCAGAAACAGGGAGGGAGGTGAGAGCCAATTACCACCCTATCCCGTCACTTTCCCTCAGAAACACAAACAATGCAGGTAAAGTTTCTCAACTATGTGCGTTTAAATCAACCATGCGTTCATACAATGTACAAGGGGAAGTGACACGCATTACACGTTTATCCAGATAGTGCCAGAGCACTCATTCCTTCAAGGTGCTGGCAGATGAAAGTTCTCATCTTCTACTTCCTTGGTGACAGCAGTCAACTGCTACCTGAGGCGAGCGGGAGAACCAATTCAAAGTTAACTGTTGAAAATGCATCGACATAAGGAGCATTTCACAATATGGACCTAAGGAGCTTGTTGCTGGGTGATATACTGGATAATTATTGTGGAGCACGTTACTTATGTCGGGGTGCGCATATTCTCGATATATGCTGTGCTATGCTCGGTTATGCTATGCAATGGGGCTCTTTTAGCTTTTCTTGATTTCCTGCCCTATTCGCAAGCTTACTTGTAGGCCTTGTTTAGTGTGTCGTGCAAGTGATTTCTTGCAACTGATGTTTCCTTTGGGTTGCTTAAGTGATGAATGTAGATATCTTAAAAACATGCCTTGCTGGGCCATAGTCCTATAACTTCGAAGCGCAATATCGATGAGGCCCGGAATGAAAATTGAAAGATACATGTTCCTTTCTGTCCTCGTTCATGTTGAGCTTCCAGGTTTTAAAATGTACTCATTGTTGTTGATGCAGGTCCTAATCTGGCATGCTGGCCACTCCCAAACTATAACCATTTCCGCAATCGTCCACTCCTTCTTTGTTTGGATTGAAGGAGGGGGCACACAAGCGCTGAAGAAATCAGTTGTAGCCATAAAGAAGACGAGTGCGCCGCTCGAAACGTTGGCCCCTGTATGTGCCCTCTGTTTTATAAACTGGTGAGAAAAAAGATTGCTAAGCAGCGATGGAGGCACAACTTAGACCAGTGGCAGGCCATCAGAAAGAAATCTCGTCATTGAAGTACTTGTGGTAGGCCGTTCTGAAAGATGAGAAAAAGGTTGCTCAGGTGCTCTTGAATGGAAATACAACTAGAAGATGCCATCGTGCATGTGCGACAGCCTCCTGCAAAGTGAGTGCCTCACACAGAAGAGCCAACCAAGGAACAAAAGATGAGAGGCCCTTGTGGGATGGCATCTCTGTGAGCTCTAAGCATTGCATCAATGATCGCCTCTGAAAGCGACTCACCTTTTGCAATGCATGCCATGCAAACCGAAAGACAATGAAATCGCCACCATTACATGCCATGCCAATCATCACACACGCGATATCACGAAGTATCTATTACTCTTTTCCCCATATGTTTACTACTTGACTAGAAAATGATGTAGATCAACATAGAACAATGACAACTACTGTATTACTTGAAAATAATGAACACTTATTCCCAAATAAAACGAGTCCAACATTACCTGAAGAGTTGAAACGGCTGCACTGACAAGAGCCTCCAGTCAGGGAGGTCTACTATGCTGTCATTACTATCACACAATAACGATAAATGCCAAAAGAAAGCATTTTGTTGCCTCCTGATGTCACATTACATTACATGTGGTCACCACCTCAAAAAAATGTCAGCTCTGCACACGGCTTCCATTGTCCCTCCTGCAGAGAATTCACATAAGTGTCTCATCCAAGAGGGCATACTCAAGTCTGCGACGTCGAGTGATTCTGGAGCGCTTCAGATAGTTGACATTCTCACAGTGACTCGTCTGTGCAGCTGGTTTGAGTTAGGAAATGTTCTGGCTGATTTTTCCATGGACTCTGACATTGCTGAGAAAAAGCATTTACGAATAACGAAGGGCTCAGATAGCTGGCTCATTCTAACAAGACAGACACAAGAAAGAAGTTTGCACGCCCTGTCTCTTTGGCATGAACAGTCATAATGGAATCACAGAAACGTCCTTCACAGGTGAAAGGCGGCTGTGCTGCAGTTCTCTGAGTGGAGCTCATTTGTGTGTGTGTGCTTGCAGCCATATGTGATGAGTGGCCATTTGAGTCGTAGCTTCAAGCATGACATGCCACTAGCTCACGTCTTGGGAACCACTGTTCTGGAACCGCTATGGGAGCTTCTATCTCTGTCATCGATGGCAAACCTGACCATGGAGTACATAGAAGAGAAAGCACTCAGCTCTTTCTCCTCGCGACCCAAGCTTTTTCTGTGTTATATGGACGATCGCTTTTGCGTCATTAAGACGGCTGAAGTTGAAAACTTCAGACAACACCTACATTCTGCGCACCCAGCCATACAATTCACGACTGAGTGTGAAAGCTATTACTGCCTGCCCTTTCTTGACGTCAAGGTGGCAAGAAAGCGCAACGGCCTGGAGTTCTCTGTTTATAGGAAGCCAACACACACTGGCCGCTACCTTCGATTCGATTCTTCCCACCCCGCCTGCCACAAGGCCTCGGTTGTGACCACGCTACTCGAGAGAGCTAGGAACTTATGCTCTAATTACACCGAGCGAAAGAAAGACGAGGCCCACATAATTGCTGACCTCAGAAAAAACGGATGCGCAAAAAAAAAAAAACTTCAAGTCACCACCCACCGCGCAGAGCAACAGAGGATACGAAAATCGCAATCAACCTTAATTGGCAGCCCCCCGAAACGCGTACCGGTTCCATATATGTTCAGAGAACCAGCGAGATGTTGGCGTGGATCTTCAGGAAGGAAGGGGTTCGCATCGCGCACGTGCCTGCATGTACGCTGGGCCGCCTACTCCCCCACCCGAAAGACCAGCCAATAATAGACAGCAGCCCCGGTGTCGTTTACAAAATTCCGTGCGCCGAGTGCCCCTCGTCATATATCGGCGAGACGAAAAACCTACCGGAACGACTGAATCAACACGCCAACGATGTGCGGAAGTTCTACAAAGAGCGTAGCGCACTCGCCGAACATGCTGAGACGTTGGATCACAAAATAAATTTCGAAGCGATGGCAATCCTTGAAAGCGAGCCGTACTGGAGGAGAAGGTTCTTACTCGAGTTGTGGCACATACAGAGGACAGCCCATAATATCAACCGCTCTCTCCGAACCCTTCCCCCAGTGTATTCACACGGACTGCACTCCTCGGCAAAACGAGAGAGAGAGAGGGGGGGTCATTAGCCACTCCGTGAGTGCTTTGAAGATGCCGCAGCTACGTAGCCTCTGCAGTCACTCTTGTGGAAGGAAGGAACCAAGTCAGTTCCCAAATGTCGGGTTTCTTCAAAACTTCTGGTCGAAGTCTAAATCATCTCCCAGTTATGAATTTGCCAACCCCTTTGCTGCCGTCGCTAACCAACATTTTGCCGCACTGCAAAGCTTGCATTGGTGTTCTGTGTCAATCAACGTTGTTAAGGACGAAGGAACTGAATTCACTTATTTGAAAAGCTTCAATGATATTAAGGATGACTGGATCTTAATGGCGTGCAAGAATTGATTGAGTGATATGTGGGGTTTAACCTCGCGAAACCACGATATGACTATGAGAAACGCCGTTGTGGTGGACTACAGAAATTTTCATCACCTGGGATTTTTTGACGTGCACCCAAATCTGAGCACACGGCCCTGCAGTATTTTCGCCTCCATGGAAAATGCAGCCACTGCAGCCGGGATACGATCCCGCAACCTGCGGGTCAGCAGCTGAGTACCTTAGCCACTAGACCACCCGGGCGGGGCAGCGTGCAAGAAGCAGGACAAGTTTATGGACTGTTTCCATGCGAAAAAAGTGCGTCAACTTGCAGTTCACATATTGTTTTTCATTATACTGTGAGTGAATCATTATGCTAGTGTTTGTAATGATTTCCGAGTCCTGAAATGGTTTAATTTAGGCCTTACAATTGCACATTTTGTATTTCAAATTATCAATATATTTAACTATCTCGCGATTCCCTTCAAGTTCAATGTATCCGGGATCAACTGTATTTGAATGTACTAGAAATTTCCCATTCCGTGAAGTTGAATTGTGCTTGTCCATTCTTCCTTTTAATCATCAACATAGTGTTTTCTTTCTTTAACTTCATTATAAAAAAACATTCCAATGCATATTTATTTCAAAACCACAAAAATTTGGTGAGCTTTAGATTGAAGAGCACATTATATTCAAATAAATATAGTATCTTTACCAATGATGATCTCACTAATCATTATACAAGCATTTAAAAGAGCTGTGTGTAGTTTTACAACAGAGCAGTCAATACAATAAAAAAAATTGCAAGTTTGACAGCACGCAGAGAAAAAAGTCAATCACAAGAGACAAGAACAGACTGTCCAGAGGACAATAATGTGGACATTCCCTAACCGCCATGTCGGAATCACTTTGTAGCATGTGAGGCTGCCACACAACAATGTCTAGAGACTCAAAATTGTGCCTACCCTCAATAACAGACAATCAATGTCACCTCCTGCTCACAGCCGAAGTCACGCACGACTGGTTCATACATTCTTTCAGACAACACTAACCACAAAGACACCATTGCACAATGCATTACTTGTGTTATTTGGCCTACTTTTTCTATCCTCTTCAAATGCTGGTGCTACAAAGTGGCCCTGTTGGAGGTGCCTCAAAACGAGCACTCTCATTAAAATGGCAAAGTGAAAGACCTGACCTGAACCACTGCTGTGACAGGTAAATCAGTAGTAAAAACAAATTCCACCATAGGTTCTTCAAAACACCGTCCATGGCAAGAAAACCTTTTCACTGCATGGTATGAGAAATATCTGCGAACAGGCTCGAGCCTACACTTCAACAACTGGAATTGTCTTCTTCGATGCTAGAACGGTTCAAATCAAAGAACTTGATCTGCAAACATCTTGAAAACTCAGTTATACCTAGTGGAGATGATATTCAGTTCTAGCCTTGAAGAACACAGTTGTTGAAACGTCAGTTCATGCACACAAGCCTTCATTAGACTTTTTCATTACAAGTTTACATCTTCCTCTTCCTGCGGTTTTTTTATTTTTCATCTCCACTGTACAGTGCGGTATTTTCCCATGATCATTGGTTTCAGAAGAGGTACAGCTAACCTCAGCTGGGGCTTTGTTGTCGACTACTAATCAACACGAAGCACAGCAATAAGCAAAAGATGAAGCTACTAAAGAACAGCTTAACAGTACAACAGAAGGTGGACACCGTCCTATTTTTGAGTGGGTGAATGAATGCCTGTGCCACTAACAAATGCCAGACACCAGCGCAATCAAAAGCTGGCACAGGAAGGCATAATGAACAGCTCGAACACACCATCTCGGGGCTGGTGACACTGCTTTATCAAATATAACGAGCTTGGAATGAGCTTTCGCATTTGCCTTCACTACAAACCAACGAGTCATTTCCTTGAATAGAGCAAGCGAAAAAAATGACCATACTTGCACCAGCAAAAATCTGCTGTCATGCTGCAGAATCCTCTAAAGGGCCAGTAAACAGGCCCCGGCTTAACTTCTTACACCCCGCAAACAAGCTCGCCAATTCGTAAAGTAGACTGCGGCGATCACATTTTCCGAATACGTATTACAGCGCTCCGCACCACGCAGACTCTCCGTTTGGAAAAACTTTCCCTGTGTCTGTTTCCTTCTGCAGACCAATCCTCCTCGTATGCGCGCAGTAGCAAAAGCTTTCCCATGCTCACCGTTATGTACCACAGAGCTCGTTGATTGCTCCTTTGCACTACAAACGGCACCCTGGCCCAGAATTGACAGAGTTTCGGCTGTGCCTTCATTTTCTTGTACTGCCCTCTGCCGTTTCGTAGAGCCCGACTACCGGAAGCAGCGGTATTGCCAGAAAGAAAGCCTGCCAAATAAAGAGGCGTCTCGCATACTTTACCGCTCGAGAATAGATGCTTCTTAATATCCCCATGTCCCTATGACACGCACTCACGCTGGGGATGCCCTGCTCGGTTGCAGGCTGCACACCGATGAAGTATATGAAGTATTGCTGTTGCCATGTCATGTTCCCAAAATGGGCAGAATCACAACGACGGGCTCATCTTTCTCATCCTTATGGCAGAAAAAGGTTGCAAGGGATCGAAAAAACTTGAAGTCCGCTGAAACGGATGTTCTAACCCCTGTAACTTTCTTATTATACAACACATTCACAAAAGTTTTGCCGCAGCATGGTGACATAGCAAAAGTGTGCATATTTCTCTTCATAACAATTTTTGGACTTCTGGGTTGTTTACTGGCCCTTTAAAGGCTGTGTGTGCAAAGCCAGACACAAAAGAGAATTCAAGACACTACAGACGCCAACTTGTCTGATGTGTGCATGCTCTGTCCTTGCGAATGAATACGTACTGACTAGCTCCGCTCTCTGAATGCTAACACGAATGAAATCAGGCTCAGAAAACTCAGCATTTTAGCTGCTTGAAAACTTGACAAGTCACTATCTTTTAGGTTGAGGAAATGATTAGAGGGGAGAGCCTTTGACCTCATGAAGAACCCTCAGACGTCGTCGAAGAGGCCCCTGGGTGGTGACGAGTAGGCGTGTTCAGTCCCCCGCGGTACTGTATAGCCGGCCAAGGGCTCGACTCCACGCAGCAACTCGGTGCGAGCACTCTCATCCGAGCCAGAACGGGTCAGGGCACCTGTAAGAACATTTGCTCTCCATGCAACGTGTTCCATGTCATGACGTCCAGTGCAAATGCATTACTAAGTACTGCAGACAGTCATGACACCACAATGAGCAAGCAGCAGATGACTCTCTTCCAAAGTGAATGGACCATGCCAATGCGTGTGGAACAACAAGGTAGACACTGCATCAGGGGCCTCAAAATAAAGTTGTAAACGCTAGCTTTTTGCACATCTGTGCCTGACTGGAGGACGTAGCTGAAGTGGGGAATAAGAAGAGAGATAAATGCTCTTTCCTACAAGCCTAATATGGCAGCATCCTGTTGTGCTGTTGTGAAGCTATAATTCCTTTTAAACATAGTTTAGAATTGGCTTAGGGATCCTCTGAAACTTTTTTTCAGTAATTTGACTTCAAAGTACTACAAAAATATTCGAGAAATACAATTGAACCTTTTTATAGGAGGCATGTTCCGGGCAGCAATTCTTGTCTCTTATATGAAATGTCTGTTATAAACAGGGTACCTGGCATGAGTTTTCTTGTCAACCCGTATTTTACTGTGGGCACGTTGGTGTCTCTTATACCCGTTTGCCTCTCACATCAGTGTCTCTTATAAAGGGGTTCGACTGTATTCTAAAATTACTTACCTTGATTTGCACTCACACTTCATTATTCAAATTCAATTTGCATCCAAAATCTTGCTATTCGCACAGCTCCATTATCGTTCTTGTGTGCATCACTGATCTAAGTTGCAAGAGAGCTGTCAAATAATTTCACTTGCCAACTGAATAAAAAAAGCTTGTAACGCAGAGAAGATGAAAATGCTGTGACTTATACATACGTTTATAGCCTCTCACATCACTAAAACAGATCATCCCGTAACAATAAGAAGATAGCCCAGAAGGCAAGTATAAGGTTTTGACTAGGGCAAGCAGTAAATTTTAGGTTCTAAAAAAATAGTGATTTAATAAAATAACTTTGAACTGAATTCGTATTGTCTATTTCGAGTATTACACAGAAAAATTGGCATAGTTGTCCTAGCCCAACTAGCCTGCACAATATTTCTCTTTAATTGGGACAAGGCCTGAGCAAATGACATTATTCTTGGTTCAAAAGAAGTGGGCACAACTTTGAATAGTAGCAATATTTCATTTTTGGTAGAATGCAAGTGATAATCCGTACAACATGATACGTTTTAAAATTACCAGTACATGGAGCAAATAAGCGAGTAGACCAAGATTTTAAAGCAAAAAAAAAAAAAATGACAAGGCGATGTGTGAATACTATGTTCATTTAACCTTTAATTGCTACTTCATGGCACAGTATATTTTCTCTGGACAAGTGTTTTCACACCCTAGCACCCCTTAACTGCAGTAAAACCCCCTTTACAGGGGTTATATCACATACATTTGTTTGTTCATTTTGAATGCTTTGCAATTTCCAGTAATTTAAATTCAAATGGAAGCAATTCAAATACTGTAATACCTGTTCGAATATTCTTACAAGCCCAGTAAGGGTTGCGATTCCTGCTCCCAAGAACTCGGGAAGCTATGTGAATCGGAATGCCATCTTGCCAGAGAAATGCACTACTGAAATAGGCTGAATGGGTGTGCAAACTAGTCATGCACAACCTCTCACTTTGGTGTAGAAAGCAGTGTAGTGGGCAAACCTGGCGGAGCCTTGGGATGAGAACACCACAATAACGAAAGAAGTTGCACCGGTAGTTCGTTGTCGGAACTGCGGCTCTAAAACCTCATTTAATTTTTGCACTACTGGATCCTGTGGCAGTATGCAGCTGGATTGCAAAGTCATCACTGAGCCTGAGGTGATTGCATATTTGGGTATGTGAGGTTCCTATCATCCCCTGTAAAGACGTTTGTGCCTCATGGCACACGTGTCTCATGGAGAGGTCGCATTTATTTAATCACTGAGCAGTAGGTGTCGCAGCGCTCGCATGGGTTCACTATCCTCATCATGATTGGCGCAGTAGCGCCAGCAGTTCTGCCCTCCAGCGAGGCTAGGTGACTGCAAACTAAAGATCCGGGAGTCTCTCTTGGCGGCTGGCGTGGATGGTCGTCTCCTGATGGGATGCGCGGGATACGACAACCCCAGGTGGTGTTCTCTGAATCCCTCGCAGTGAGTTGAACATCGGCGACAGCATCTTCACGTTACCTTGTGTTGTCATATTTGAGTATATTGAAATATTTATGAGATTTTTGTGAGCATGTCAATAGTGACGTATTTGACTCGGCTGGTGACGCTGTCGTTTTGTAAATGTGGTTGAATAGTACACAATGTTTGGTTTGCCCGACTGCATCTTCTGTGCCCTTTCGTTTCCAGAGTGTGTCTCGCCTTCGCGAGATCCCACAGTTGTTAAGTGGATTCGTTACAATTCACTAGCTCTCAGTGACAAAAAAAAAAGGTCTTCTTGGTGACAGCACCTTAGAGTACTTTGTAACTGTTGTTTCATTCCGTGTACACATTGACGCAGTCTATAATGCGTCATTTTATAGTCGTTTACGCACTGTTAGGAACAAGTACCCGTGGTCGTGGCACTGGACGACCTTTACTTTATTAGGGCTAACTCCGCATTCCTGCTTCCTTCTTCTCTTTCTCGACGCCTGTCGCACCTCTCCTAAAGCCCACGCCCCACTTCTTTATTTTCAACATCCTTTGAGACAGAGGGAATGCATGGCACAATCTATGCTGCCCCTTACATGTAAAACTCAGTTGTACATGTAGGTATGTACTCAGTTGTACATGCGGCACATAGTATGTCCCGGCTGGTTCAGCACGTGGTCAGTTGCCAAACGCACGGAGCAGTCTCCGACCGCGTCTTCTCATCCATGATGCAGTTACGTCATTCGGGCAGGTGTTCTTGTAAAGTCAGCATTTCTGACACCAACCTGAGATGAAGCCTGCTAATCACAACACGTAAATGAGGCGCACACTTCCATCTCTGTCGTTTCCATCTCAGTGCGCTGTTGCAGCTGTACTGCACACTCAGGTTCTCCTGTAGACTGTGTACGGCAGCATTTTGGAGTCTTCTCCATGAAGGGCCCAAAAGCTGCTGTGACGTTTCATGCTGTGCCTCGAACCTTGCGCATCTTGCTTTTTCACGGCTCCGCATGAATATTCTTGATGAGAAGCTTCCACGGTTGGCTCACATGGTATTGGTTCTGCTTCGGCTCCCTTTTCAGGACCTTCAGCTACCTTTTCAGGGGCACAAGCAATGTTTTCACCTTCATTTTGAGGCCACCATTGCCTTGTTTTGTCACACAATCATCCAGTTTTTTCAAGCTGAGTGGAACACTGTCCTGATGTCCAAACTTTTGATTCACTGGCAAAGGCACTACGAGAAACACCGGACTTCTAGCTTCACCGCCAAGAAGATCGATGGGGCCACCGTTGCTGATGGAAGGGCTGTCGGTGGGCTCTTCTTTTGGGCTGAACATCTGCTCTTGTTCGACCTTTTCCGCACGACCATCCTTGAAGTAGGTTCTGATGACTTTGTCGTACTGTTGCAGCAGTACTTGTTCCTGAAATCGGTTATGGTGCATTTTCAGTTGATGTGCTGCAAGCTCTTCGGTTGTCGCTCCCGGTAGAGAAACCAGACTCCTGGAGTATTAAGAAAACTCCATAACGACCAGCTTGCCTGCTCAGCCAGCGTTCAAGCCTTTCGAGGTGTGGATAGTCTTCCACTTTACTTGGCCTCATGCTTGCAATATCGATCATGTCGAAGTGCCACATAGCCAATTCCTTACCCTAAATGTTAGTCGACATGAGGAGGGCACAAGTTGCAATACGTGCATGGTACAAGGTTCTTCCCTGCACAGTACACCCGAAAGATGTTTCAACCGCAGTGACTTCCTGGTTGAGGCGATCAATCCTTCCTATTGCAATCTTCCAGTAAGCGTCTGAGCCAATCAAGATGCTGATATTGTCCGGGTGCCAAGTCTCAGGGTCGAACAGATAGATCTGCCGCATCGTGTCCCCTGTCGCGCAACAGCTATAGAAAGTCAGGATCCGGTGGCGGACTAGTCACGGAGCATACGCCGGGTAGCTGTAGTGCTTCCAACGTAACTTTTCTGCCATTGAATCGACTCCTCAGCGTGACAGAAACGCAGTGACAGCGCAAATTATGCCGTGGTTCAGCATTCCCGAACGTTACCAACGACAGCTCTTTATGCTGATGGCTCTGCATTGAAGTTGCCTTGCAACACCGATGTGAATGAATGAACAGTGGCTGCCACTGTCTAGCATTACACGAACTAGGAATCATCGTGGTCCACTCTTCACCCAAACGCGACCAGTCTGAAGCAGTACAGACGTCGCTCCTGTGTCGCTGGTCGAGGCCGTGGTTAGTGTCAGTGAAGAAGTACCAGATGTATCAAGCTGTCGCTCCTGTGTCGCTGGTCGAGGCCGTGGTCAGTGTCAGTGAAGAAGTACCAGATGTATCAAGCTGGGTGGTCAATCAAGTAGAAGTAGTCATTGCGATGACACGTGACAATTCGCAGAGGATCGTTATATGTCAATGTCGGCACTTGTCACGCGTGAGATTATGCGAAATGGGGCAGAATTGAGCGACGTGATTGCGCGTTCCGCACCTGAAGCAGCAGCGGGCGCTGCGAAACCTGAATCTTTTCTCTTCGACCGAAATGTCGGCCGAACATTGCGCGAGGCTGTGAGTTCTGCTGTTACACAGCACGCAAGAACGAGTACACTGCTGTGGAGATTCTGTCATAGTTAGTGCAGCTGCCAATGTCCTGTGCAGATCTTGTCGATGAGTACATTTGATCAAGCACATTGGTCGAGTGGTGGAAATGCGATGACTGTGCTTCTCGCTTTCTTTCTTCAAGCACCTTGACCTGGATTTTCAGAAAAGACAAGATGTCAATCGCCCTACTCGCTCTCGCATCTGCTAACGCGCGCTCAGATGAGGCGTCACCATCCTGGGTGACCTCTTCTTTCTTCTTCTGTCGGTACAATATAGCTAAGTCTTCTGGTAAGTACCTTATC